CATCGTTTTTTTGGGGAATGGTGACCCTGCCAGTATGCGGGGTTATGCACGGTCCTTTTTTGGATGGATAAGACTGGATTTGGGCTGATGGCCTGCTGGGCCTATTTGGATGCAGAATTTGCTTGGAAACCCTCAACCTTCTGGCCCAGTGATGGCCTGCTGGGCCAGGTCCCTCAACCGACCTGCGAGGCCCCGCCCAGTTCGGTGCCGCAGCGGGTGCCCTGCGACGCATGCAGAGCGGGCGAGGACGGGCCCTGGCTGAGGGCTGTGCTGCGGGCAGGTGCAGAGCCTCCCAGATTCCAGACCACCGAAACCAATTTGCTTCGGGTTTGGGGTCCTGAACATGTTGGGCTGCCATGTCTGGGTCCAGTGGGCATGTCTCAAACTCGCAAGGACCAACGATGAGACCCCCTACAAAAAAGAACAAATTGATAAAATGTTCCAATGGTTATTGCCAGGGGGATTTTCAATCTTCCAACACACACATGCGGCGTTCTCAGGAGAAGACTCACCTTCGAGCCCGAACACCTCTAAGAGTGGCTGGTGGCCCATGCAGGACTGACCGAAGTTGATTGATCTGAGACGGACCAAGTTGCCCACCCGCGTGAGGCGCACCAAGCCCCTCAAGTAGTCGATGACCTCAAGTAGTCCCTGACGTTTTGTGTCTTCTGTGTCTTCGAGTCTGAAAAAGGGTCGTTGGGGGGGACGCTACGTTCCTAACAAGTGCATCGCTACTAGGAACAAGTGCCTTACTAGTACAATGTTTGCTACTAGAAACAAGTGCCTTACTACTAGTAACAATAAGAATCTATTTAAAATTCGCTCCGCTTTGTTCTCACCAGGACTCAGATCTGGCCCTGTCCGAGGACGAGGCGTTTGAGGGAGCGGGACGTAGGTGGTAATTCTTCGGTGGATGAGACGCCACTCACATTGCACAAAAAGTGCGGAGGAAGCGCTCGTCTTCCACAGGATCGTCTATTTGGGATTTGGGAGTAACAAGAAGCTACGTTCGTAACAAGTGCATCGCTACTAGTAACAAGTGCCACGCTAGGAGTAACAAGAAGCAAGAGTCCCCTTCAACGGCCCCCGGTTCAATGGGTCTTTCAGACGTCCGCAGGGCCCTGGGCCGGGCGCGACCGGCCCGGCGGGCCCACAACCACCTGGCGAGGCGAGTTGACAGGGAAGTCGTCCAGGGATTTTGGAAACCTATTTTTTGTTTTCAACATATCGACAGGAGGTGAGAGGATTCCTTTTCTTTGAGAGGAGGGACATCTTCCATTGGTTGGGTTGTAGGACCCCTTCAAATTGATGGCTAATTCGCCTTCAAACGGACCAGCAACCAGCAAACGGAGTGAAACCGGGACTCTGTGTGTTTGACCGTCGAGGGAGTCGATCTCATCTGGAAGATCAATCTTGGAGTTCATCACGATGGCAATGGATTGAGAATCCCATGAAAAGATATGAACAGGATCTTCATCATAGGATTCACTCGCAAGCTCCTTCAGTTCCCATTCAAGAATCCTATGGCAGTGGAGTCCAAGAAAAGACTTCTATCCTACCTGCTTCTGCCCTGCTTCCCCTACTACTAGGAGCAAGAAGCTCTAGGGGCTCCTGGCCTTGTTACTAAAAGCCAGGACGCTATTAGGGGCTCCTGGCATCGCTACTAGGAACAAGAAGCTACCAGTAGCTCCTGCTTCCCCTACTTCCTCTGGCCCCACAGGACGCGACACCGGGTGTCCCACCCCATGAGGCCGGGGAGCGAGCCGCACGGTGGATGCCCACGATGGTCGCGGGAGGGAGGGACGCTTCGGATGCTTTGGGAGTCAATCCTTTGGGACAGTATCTATTAGTATATATTAATATAATATCTCCTTTTTGGGGGCATTCTTCATTTAAAGAGAGGGCAGCGTGGAAAAATGGCATGACGATACGGTGATTTGATGTGATTTGTGATTTGGTGCTTGATTTTGCTGGACCAAAGCCAGCCAGTCATTGAAAACGAGTCTCTTTCTATTTCTCGGCAACCAGGTGTCTCCAGACCCGGACCGCTCCGCGCGCTCCGCGGACGGCCCCACCAGCGGGACGACCGGCGAGAGAGATGAAGCGGGGATGCTCAAGCTGGGAAATCCAAAGATGTACATGCATTGCTGCTGCATTTTTCATGTACCAATGGATGTGTTTATTTTTTATACATCTACAGAGCTCATCATATATAGAATATTACAGAATTAGAGATGTATGGACCCTTTTTTGGTATCCGTCCAGCCAGTTAGTTACCCACTAACCTACTTAGGCATCTACATCTATCAACATGACACGGGGTTTCGGGGAATCAATAGGCTGTCTGGACCATGGCTGACTGGATAGAGAGCGACTTCGGAAGGGATACCGCTCTCTGGCCGCCAAAGGGAAGAACGCTGATGAGGGAGTCCCCGAACCTGCCTTCAGTGTCAGCATCTTCGGCCTTCGGCCCAGCGTCCCCCAAAGAAAGCTTCTAGTAACAAGTGCCTTACTAGTAGTAACAAGAAGCTAGTAGTAACAAGTGCCACGCTACTAGTAACAAGTGCCACGCTAGTAGTAATAAAGAAAGGGGATGATTTGTTGCTTCTGCTAACGACTGTTTTTGTTCGGCGACCAACGAGGCAGCGTCGAGACCCAGCTCGAGACCTGGCTCCAGACCTGGCTCCACGGGACGAGAGGTGGAGAAGAAGACGGGATGGGCCACCAAAAGAGGAATATCCAGTATATATATCCCCTATTGCTCGTCCTGTTATTGATCCTGAATATGAAAGGCTGAGGCATTGTTTGTGTTCTGACTTGGGAGCAACATGAGGCAGCATGGACGTGGGACCTCTTTTGTTGTTTGATACCTCACCTGAATAGATTGTGCTGTTCTTGTTCCTGCTCACCCATCCGGCTTTTTCAAAAGTGTAGTGGTTGGTTCGTTGAGGCTGTGGGTGTTTTTCACTTTCAACTCACATGCTTCTAAAGGCCATCTGAGACCCTGGCACTTTCTTTGATTTTATGGCAGGGCAGGGTATCGTGTATTTCTGATTTGTGGCGCGGGACCATTCAGTGCTTTTCTGGGTGGTGAAGGTTGCCCACCTACTGTACTCCCAAGGGATCAAGACCCTTTCTTTGCAGAAGATCTCGGATGTCAAAGACTACTCTCATCCGAGATCTTTGAACACCTTTTAATCAACTTCACAGAAGCTCAGTCACAGAAGCATGGCTCCTTGACACACCGAGCAGGGCGCCTTGGTGGGTGCTTTCGTTCTTCTGAGTGCCAAGGGCTCCAGCAGATCCGGACGAACGCGGAACGCGGAACGCAGGTGGGGACTCTGGGCGAAGCGCTCAGCGACGGCCCCGCGAAGCCCGGCCTGGAGGAACGAAAGGCGGGGCATCGGGGAGCCCGGAATCGATCAGGTTTTCGATCCATCAGGTGATGGCCATCATTTGTGATGTATGAGCTTGAGAGTCCATGACCCAGGCTCTCAATTTGTTCCAAGTCCTTGTAAGATCTTGTAAGTCTTTTTTTCTTCCCTGCATGGTGAATGATCCATTCGTGGGGGCTGGCACGATCCCATGGGTTCTTGGCTTCTTCCCCACCCGCTCACGGCACGAACTCAGAACTCCCACGGACAAAGCTCGGAAAACGCGAGGCGAACTGGGCAGACTTGGACACCGAAGGCAATAGGACTGCTGCTTTGGTGCCCCCAGGCGGGTGTTTGGAGGGGATGATCCGGCTCCTGAAGATTGGGTCACGATCCGAGCTGGGAAATTGTGATCCGTGCTGAGATTGTGAGGTTTACTCTTCTTCCACGAACATGTGATTGCTTTGTAATTAGTTAGTATAAATTAAAAGGCTTTTTACAGTATAACTTATTATATAACTGTTTCCTATAATGTTCATTGAGACCAGCACAGACCTCAAATCCGCTCTTTTATTGAGGAGTCTTTCGTCTTGCAGAAATCCATCTCTTCACCAAGTTTGGGTTCGAGCATTCTCGCTCGGTGATTCGATCGACTGGATGGGACCCGACTGGTCATTCGCTCGCTCGATGCATTCCTTGGTCTTGGATTCGAGTGACTTTGATGACATACGGACTTTGATGTTCACAAGCTCACCCCTCCCAGAGCAAAATGGCGGAATCGTTACGTGCTGCAAAACGGTATACTCTTGCAGATCTGCTTCAGGGTTTACACCCGAAACTGCCACACCCAGTCCCTTCGCTTAGTTTGCAGGTAGTGCCAAGTCAGCGCCCGCCACGCCACGGCACGGCGAAGATGACGATGACGTACAGTCGGCGGGGCGTTTGAGACACGCCATGACGGAGCCAGTCCATATAGAGGCGCCCGGGAGGACTTTTCGGGGCAGGCTTCCAAAAGGAGACACCAGGCAAAAAAGGTGCGGTTTTCCTGGAGATCCCTTCAGATTGTAGGGTGGTTGATCGAGAAGGGGTTGGCTTATTGATTTTGAGGTTCTGGTATGACACATTACAACAGTTTTTTTTCTTTCTTACTATATAAGGTTTGATTGTGCACCATGCGAGTTGTGCAAATGCCCGCAGCCACGGCGCAGCCACGGCGAAGTCGGGCATTTTAAATCACAGTAGCAATCTGCAAGGTCAAGAATGTGTTTGAATCCAATGCCAACCATTTGATCCCCCGATCCCCTCCCGGACAGCTAAGAAGAATTGGTGGAACTGGTCTAAAACAGCTGCTGGAGTCCGGATGCTAATTTGGCCAACAGCTGCAACATCATTTACTGTACACCTAACACTGGATCCAGATCCAGGTGATTTCAGTCCCCACCACACCATTTGCCTGGGCCAGGCTGATCGATCATCCAAATCATGTGTATTCTGTATTCATGTTTGATGAAGGACCTGACAATCCAATGTCTAAGCATATTCTGTTGCCTCAGAGTCAGACCATTCCCATGTCCCCACCCTGGATCCACTGCAAGTCATCTTGTACGTGACCCTTCGTCACATGCCATGACGGCCGCCCTGCCGGCCGCCCTGCCATGGGACTACGATGTGCGGAAGGGGCAGGAGATGCCCCCGGGCATTCGGCTGCTGAGGGTCACGGACATTGCCTTTACCCAGAAGCAGGCGGGAAGCAGCCAGGAGAGATGAACGTTGAATGACCAAGAAAGGAGTGCGACCCGGGAGTAGAACGAGGCCAAGCCCCCCTTGCTCCACAAGTTCTTCTTCCAAGCAAGTAGAGAAGGGTAGTGAGCTGGTGCCAGGTGGTTGCGAAATGTTTCGAACATGTTGACGATTGCAGTCTCCCTCCAACCAGATTCGTTTGAGGGATCAGTGGATTTCCATCAGCACCTTCCATGCTTTGGCACTGAACCCTTGGCACCTCCCTTGGTTACGGGGGTTACGCGACCGGTCGACCAGCGACGGTTCGACCAGCGCCGACCACGGGCGCCGTCCAGCCAGGTGAACGATTCCTTTTCTCACGAGCAGCGGCCGATTCTGGAGCTCATTGAATCGGTGCCTCGGCGGAACCGCGAAAACCCCCACGAGAACGATTCGGAAGTTGGCTGGGTGAGTAGCTGCCACAAACCAAAAGCGCTTGGTTGCAGAGTTGATGGCAGTGGGTTGTCCCAGTGATAGGTACATGAAGGATATATAATTAGCAGCAAGAATGCTCCTAGTAGCGATGCCAGGAGCCCCTAGTAGCGTCCTTGCTCCTTGTAGCGATGTCCTTGCTCCTAGTAGCTTCTTGCTCCTAGTAGCATTGGGAAGCCCATGGCCTTTGCACCTTTGGACCCACGAGTGGGACTCTGTATTGTGTCGGTGTTACCGTCCAACCACTCATGAAAAAGGGTGTACTGGCAATCCAGGCACTTGGATGCAGTGCCCAAGATCTGTGAATGTCGCGATAAATAGCTGGAGGGCCCTGGAGGGCCATCCTTGTGTGCCAAACTTGTTTCTCCACCATAAACCACCCGACACCCATGCAAAGCCTTGCTCTCTGCTCAGTGAAGCAGTAAAGCCCCCAAAGTTTTCATGACTTTTGACTGCCCCAGCTCGAGTGGCTCAGCACCGTGCACAAGCGCCGAGGTCCTTTCAGGCGCCGCGCACCCGAGGGACATTCCCTTGATTCGCGTGGCGTGGCATCAGGGGCAGTTCTGGGCGATTGACAATCGCCGACTCTTTTGCTACAAGCACTGTAGGCTGGAAAGGCTGCCGGTGGAGGTCATCCGCTGGGAGGATCAGCACGAATTCGACTCTTGGATGTGAGAAATTTGGGTCACCGGGCCATCAAAAGAGAACAGTCTTTACCCAAACACATGGGTTGGTGGTTCAAAGGGTTTTGTTTGGTGTCCCTTCATTTGTGAGATAGAATGGACTGGACTGGCCGACTGGCCTCAAGAAGTTCAAAAAGTTGACGCCCGACGCTCCACATTCTTTTGGAGCTTAGGCTTGTCTTGGGACGTGCTGTTGGTATTTTGTATATATATTTTTCTGGCTGTGGGCTATTTCCGTGAAGCTCATGATGTTATGAGATGTTATGAGCCTCATGAATGAGTTGGACTGGGGCCCGGGTGCAACCAATGTTTTTGTGGGCACGAAGGAAAGGCAATGACCTTAGACCTTGGGGGCATTGGCGCACCTCCTGTTTGAGTACAAAAACACATCACTGCAAATCATTCTCCATCCAAAATTCACTTGGTAGCTGCTAGCTGATGACTTTTTGATCCAACATGACAGAATTCCTGTCTGAACATGTGGCGTTTTCGTTTCAGGATCATCCTGTTTGGGTGTTCAGGTAAGCAAGGCATAAGTCGTGAAGGGATGTGCAGGGGCAATCTATTGGCTGGTTCATGTTTTGCTTGGGTAGACCTGGGTTCGTGTTTCTAGAAAGCAGAGTCAAGCAGAGTCAAGCTGTTTGAGGTCTAGCATGATAAGCTGCACGTAACCACAGTGCTCAGATGGTGATCTCAGGTGGTTCCAGAAAGCTTGGAGAATCACATGTGCTTGGATAGGCCACCAGGCCACCACATCATATTTGGCGTTGGAGAATCCGTGTCCCCTGAAATCAGGAAATGAAGTGGAGGAATGGCCAAGGTGCGCGAGGGAATGGAGGATATGGAGGGCCAATGCTGGGGCATGGAGGCCATCAGGCGGGTGTGGTGCAACGCTTGAAGGATCTGCCCTTCCCCAGGAGTCCCATCATGCACGAAGAGCCTTGGGCCGAGAGGAAGAGAAGGCAGGTGGAGACGGTGGACCCAAGCGGTTTTTCTGTTTGGTTTGGACGGTTTGGAGTTGGGGAATGGTTTGGAGAGTTCTAAAGGGTTTTGGGGTGCCAAAGAGATCCTGTCCGTCACCTCCTCAACGGACTGGGCAAAGCCACGGCTTGCCGCCGGCAACGTGCGCCTCCTTTCGAGGTCTTTTGTGCAGTTCTAAGTCCAGCACACCAGGACTACAGAGAAAGGGGGAAACCTGAAGTTGGGTTTGGATTGCTTGCCTCCTTCTGCAGCTCAGGAGGAGAGCGAAATCTCTTTGTTCATGGATGAGGATTCTCAGAGAAGACATGACAAAGCGAGGATGGAGAATCTGCTGAGATATCGTAAGATGGCAAGTTATGAGGATCAACTTGCTGGTGATGTGCAGCTTGGACTGGATCCAGTATATGACATAATTACCAATAATGTCATAGTCGACCATGGCAATCGGTTCGCAATTCCTTCGACTTCGACTACGACTGGGCCATGTTGTTCAAGTTGTCCCCCAAAGGACACACAGTATCATACAATGCTTTCCAACGAATTTCCGGGACATCGCTCAAATATATGTCTGTACCCAACGCCAAAGACCGCATTCTGACTGGAGTTCGTGATCCTAAAATCAACACAACAAATCAATAACGCAAACTCAAGGAGGTCTTCGGATTCCGTGCTTTTACCGGGCTCTTCGGATTCCGTTCGATGTGAATTCCCCTGGCCTTTGGAGGGGCCGCCCCTGGAAGTACTTGGCGCGCCTGGGCGAAGATGGGATGCCATGCACCTTGCTGAAGGCCAAGGTGGATGGCCTCTTCGAAGCCTGTGTTTGGAATGGCCGAGAGGCGAGGCGTCCGAACGAGGCGGTCCGCGTCGAACGAGCCCGTCAGCGCGGTGTTTGGAACGTCCGTCACGACCGCGCAGGTCGAATGTGCCCGCAGCGTGGTCGACTAAGACATTCTCCTGACGTGTGGAACACAGAAAACTATCAGGGGGATTCAGGGTGTTGTCTATGGTTTTTCATTTTTCAGCAAAAAGATCACAACATCATACAACATCCATTAGATCGTGGCATGCACGGAGGCCTCGAACTCGGCAGGTCCTCCTTCATTTGGGCCTCCACTGTGGACAATTGGAACCGGCCGTGGGTGACTGCCGCACTGCAGAGCTGCCGCTGATCAAAAAGGACCCGTGCGGCCGGAGGTGTACTTGGAGCTGGTTTCGCTTGGCATGTTTCAGGCATTTCGGGTCCGTGTTTTGTTGTGCTGCTGGTTTGTTGGCCACAAAATAGGCACCTCACTCCGTTTAAATAATATAATAAAACCCACCCGGTGCCCTGTGCGACAAAGCGCCTTCGGAATAGCGGTTGCCTGGAGGATATGTTGAGCCGCTTGACCTTCGTCATGCCGCACAGGATGCCAGCCAAGCTGCCGTGTCTTGGCGTGGTTGGAGGGTGGCGTCTGGGTTCTGCGATGTGGGGGAATGTTGCAGGGTTGGGCTGCTGAGTGAATCAGTGAGGCAGAGAAGCTGCTGAGTTCTGAGGATGTGTACCTTGAGCTTGGTCCAAGTAGGGTTTGACTGAAGATTTTGTTGGATTGAGATGGTTTTCGAGGTGAGATCACTGAGGTCTTTACAGTGTCGGATGTGTATTTTCACTCCATGTAATATGTACACTTTGTACCTTGCACATAGTAGGATGTCACGCAGATCTACCTTTCGCAGCTCGCGGCCCAAAACAGGAGTTGCAGCTTAACGGCTGTTTCTATAGGTTATCAGCCGTAGTGCTCTAACCACAGCCATGGACGCTCTTGCTATTCCTGGGAACGGTACATCATCGGTAGCAGTCCCAGCCGGTCTCATGACTGAGCCCACGGTGGATCTAGATGACCCCATGGGTTCAGCTCCTGTCACAGCTTACTTTCAGTTCGTGCAGCAAAACATTCAACAAGTGTACAACGGAAACGAAGACGCTATCATTGCTGAGGCAGAGAGAAGACACAAAGAGATAATGGGACAATGGCTGGACATGGTAAAAACCAAGTTTCGTCAAGCAATCGATGAAGTAGCGAGCAAGCATCATGAGGAACTCAGTTCGGTAAGGCAACAAGCTCAATCTAGCTACAACCAAGTGCAAGGGGAACTAAGTGCTGCAAAAGCACGAATCCTTAAGCTAGAGAGTGAAAGGTCCATTGAAGCTGAAGCCAGAAAAGCAGAACTGGACTCCTTGCGCATTCAGCTCATGCATGATTGTCAGCAAACTGTCACTGCCATCACCAGCGGTGCCGAGCAAGGTGTGGCAACGCTTCGTGCAGAGTTCGATGAGCGGGAAACTCAGCTTCGACGTGAGCTACGCGACGCAGAAAATGAAAACTATAGCCTGCAGCAAATGCTCGATGACCTTAAAGCCAAAATGCATACTGGACCCGAGCTAGAGTACCATCCAACAAGTGTCATGAACACACCAGTGTCTACCCCTAGGCATGATGACACAAAGAGGAAAAATCCTCTGGAGACCATTGCAGCAGAGGCTACTGCACGTTTGAGTGGACTGTTCGCACCCAAAGCGCCGACGGCCACCATCATCGGTGATGCCCCACCAGGGGCAGCTGCTCCTATCAAGCCCGTGCTTCCAGTTTACGGAGGCACAGCAGCGGATGGGGGCAAAACACCGACAAATTTGTTCCATAGCCCTGCACCTTCAATTCGCGAACCCCATAAGCCAGCGTCATCAGGTGCCATCACCTCTGAGCAGGTGATTGAATTGGTCAAGTCACTCACTCAAAGAGAGTCAGATGAGAAGCCAAAGGTAAAGGAGGCAGATCATATCAAGTTGAACGACATGCCAACCCCTGAAACCTATCGGCAGTGGAAACATCATGTGAGGGACGGAATCAAGTCATGTTCTGACAAACCAGATGCTGCCTGGGACTGGTTAATGGAGGTTTACAACACTGTTGATGAGAGAAAAGTTCTGGAAGAGCGGTTGTCTAACCCTGGGAAGTTCACAACGTTGGATACCAAGTTGGCAGCTGCGCTAACCAGAAGTGCAAAGGGTGATCTAGCAAACCGAATCATCAATTACAAAGAAGAGAAGGCAAAGCTAGGCATCCAGGTTCGAGGAAGAATGACTCTTCTCATGTTCGATGACTATTTCAAGACCTCGGAAGAAGCGGGTAGCCTCTATAGAGTTGAAGATCTCCTCAATGTGGTAAAGGTAGGCGATACTGTAGCGGACTTGAAGCGTTTCATCAACCGCTGGGACGCTACCATCGCTGGTATGCCCGAACCACCGCACGAAAACGTGCTTCGAGACATCCTTTTAAGGCAGATCCGCACTAGCACAATCCTGAGGTACGACATTGATCTCTTCGATCGTGCAAAAGAAGGTGACCATCATCGGTCTTACAAATTCCTACTGCAAAGCATCAAGGATTTGATAGATCGGGAACGCCTTCGTGAGAATCGATCACGTATCGCGGAGCGAAATCGGCTCAAGCCAGGTGATCGACATGAGAAGAACGCAGCCCCTACTGTTGATCCTCGGCGAAAGCGTTCGCCATCGCGCGGACGATCCACTTCTCGGGAGAAGGGCATTTGTTGGGCCTTTTTGGAGGGAAAGTGTGCAAAAGGGAAAGATTGCAAGTTCAAGCATGAAAAGCCCAAGCGTGATCCTTCCAAGAAGCGCCAACCATCCCGGGAGCGGAATGAGTCGAGGGACAAAAGCACAGATAAGGAAAAGAAGCGGATGACTAAGGAAGAGATGGCGAAGACCCCATGCAGGTACGATCAACAAGGTACATGCAGAAGAGGAGACAAGTGCTTTTTCAAACATGGAGAAAAGGCAGCACCGGCTCCGAAAACGAAGCCAAGAAAGGACTCCCCAAAGCCAAAGGCAAAAGGAGATACCAAGAAGGCTGCCATTTGCCTGAGCAATCGGTTTGCATGTCTTGCGACTGGTGTGCCCGGACGGTCATGTCTCAAGAAGTCCTGTCTTCCTCCAGCGAGAAAGAGGTCTAAGTC